ATTGACTCCCTAGGCCTCTTTCTAATGTCAGCTTGTAAAACCAAACAATCATTTCATGCTTAATGAGAAGTATAAAAATTGAGGACAATTAGAAACACAATAGAATAGAGCAATTCTAGGAATCTGGAATCTGAGTTCTAGTTGTAACTTTGACATAAAGTAATACCTGTGAGACTTTAAACAAGTTACTGTAGTCCTTCTGGACCTCAATTTTCACAAAACTGGTGTCAAACCAAATGGTCTTTGAGAGTTCCCTTGTAGGTGATAAAACTTCAGTTTGAATGTGAGAGAGTCAAATACTCCTGGGCCTATCTTCTGCCCTTATGTTTGAGGAAGTCACAAGAAGACTTCCTTTTGTTGGAGGCTGAGGTGTATTTAGAGAAGTAACCTAAACTGTGCCAGTTCTGGACTTCAGAGTTATGTCAAACAATAGAGAAGGATGGTCAAATGGATGTCCCCTTTCTCATTTTCTGAGAAAAGATTACTTCCTCCAGTAGGGGTGAGTTTCACCTGTCTTCCCCCACGGCACAGCCTCTCTTAGTAAAAAGGAGAGGTGATATACATATTCATGTTTCCTGGCACTAAGATATGTGCCCACATATCTTCATGCATGAGTTCTATGGGAATCAATAGACATTTGAAGTAATATCTGAAGCGGCTAATTTCTGGTCCCCCACAATACTATGATACACTCAATACTGTTTGAGGGCCCTTCTGGCTGGCTAGCGGGTTGACAGGCCGATGTGAATACGGAGTGCAAACAGAACTGAGTTGAATCTGATTCCAACTTGCCCTTTCTAGCTCTGTGGCATTGGACTAGTGACATAGTAATTAGGAACCTCAGTTTCTTTATATGTCCACTGGGAATTACATATCTTTTACAAAATTTATTAAGACAATAAAATTATACTCTTTAACATGTGTTAGGCTAGGGAAAGGTAGTTTTAACTTCCCAATGAATGAAACTCTAGTATTAATTATTGAAGAGAACACATGCCATCATGTTCAGCATTCCTAAGTGTCCAACACAACCGCTGGACTGACATAATGTGAATTCAGTGTTCTTAGACATTTTTTCCAACCAGGTTTTGTCGTCAGAAAGTGACTAGTGGCTTTGTTTTTCAAGAATTATTTATTTTATTTATGTGTACGAGTGCTTTGCCTGCATGGGTGTATGTGCAACATGTGTCCATGGCATCCAGAAGAGAACATTGAATGCCTTGGAACTGGAGTTATAGACAGTTGTGAGCCATCATGTGGGTGCTGGAACTGAACCTAGTTCCTCTGCAAAAACAACAAATATTCTTAGCCACTGAATCATTTCTTCAGCCCCACAGTGGCTATATTTTTGAACTCAGTGTATGACTAGTTAAAACTAGTGTTTGGAATGGAATGATTGGACCTGGGACAGAAGTTGAGAGGTCATATTCAAGTTGTTTAACTGTGCCTGTTTAAACGTGGCATGCCCAGAGAGCATGACAACTCTACTTGTCCTTACTGAGATTATTTTTGTGTGTAACCTTAAGATGTTGTTAATATATATAGAAACTGTGATATATTCAAAAATTTCTTGCAGTTTAAAGCATCCTTTACATACTCTTTACTCATTTAAAAATTATTTTAAAATTTCTTTAAAATTCTCACCATTGTTGTTTTCAAGTAAGACCACTAGAGGTCAGAATTTCACAAGATTGTTAACCACCATGGTAAGAAAAATAAAATGAACATTTTCCTGTTAAGCAGCATAAATGCAATTTTAAGGTACAGAAAGAAAAATAATGGAGACTTTTGAGAAGTTTTGATAAGTGGAGTGATGCTTATCCTGAAAGTTCTTACCCAATGACCTTGATAAGCAACTAAAGGAAAGAGAAGCAAAATGTGTTAAATATGTGACATTTATACTGATTATTTTATCTTAAAAGCAGAAAATGCGTATTATGAAGTCCCGTTTTACAAATAAAGAGGCTGACACAGTAGAGGTTCAAAAAATGGACTCTAATGCTTTTCCTTCCAGTAAGTTGTGCTACAGAAATAACACTAAAGTGTGCATATTGAACTGAATATTCTATGGATAGTATTATTGGTTTTTCATCTGCAAGTCTGAATAATTTATTTAGTTACTATTCGCCAAAATGAATTTAAAATGAATTCCTTTTATTATTTCCCAGAGTATTTAGAAATTTCTGTGCCCAGTACTGCTGTGGTGGTAAACTTAGTAATGAGATGATTGGCCATGAAGCAAAGTATTATACACTAGCTTTTTGTAATAGAAAAGATATTGAATGATAAACTCTAACCTGGTCCTTTAAAATGTTTGCCTGGGGTCATCAAACTTTTCATTTGTTCATTGTGAAGAGCTAAATATGCAAATTGTCCTTCCTTGGGCTCATCTAGCGGTTACTGTATTCTCATGAGGAAATAGGTGGTATAGACTGTAGTTCATATTTGCACAAAGGTTCTATGTCCTGTTTATTGTGTATTCACCTCTAACACTATGCTTAGAACACAGGAAAAGCGGCAATAAATATGCTCCAGGTTGCTTCAGTTTGAAAAAAACAAAAAGATAAAATCAATTGGGAGCTAACCCCAAAAGCTTGCAATTGAATTCCAAGCTTGCGATTTGAATACAAGTCCTAAGATAGTTTCCTTTTTAGCTAACTTCAAACTCATGTCATCTAACATGGTGTCTGAGATTTGGTAGGTATTTGGTATATTCCAGGGTCATGGAATCACTTTACTAAAAAGGGAACTTAGAATGCATTTGGTGCAAAGCCCATATGCTCAGGAAGAAGAGGAAATCATAACAGAGTCTATAAGACACATAGTCCTGAGATACAGTGCTCTAAAGTGCCTCTCTTCCATTCCCCCTTCAAGGTACACTCACACCTCTATCCTTTCACATTAGCTTATGACCGGTTCATAATTCTACCTGGGCTCAGGAAGAGAATAAAAGATTCCATTGTTTGAAACGATAACTGGACATTTAATGAAAAGAGGAAAGTTTTGCAGTAGGTGAAGAAATGAATAAAGAAGGCTGTGGATACTTTGCTGGTTTTAAAAAATTACTGTGTATAGATTGAAGTAATGACTTTTTTTTTTTTGAGATAGGATATCCCTGTAGCCTAAGCTGACCTGGAACTCACTATGTAGACCAGGTTGACCTTGAACTCACAGAGATCCACATGCCTCTGCCTCCCAAGTGCTGGGACTACAACTACAGGCATGCACCACCCCGCCCACCTCGAGCTTTATTTTTTTTAAAGGTATATGCTTTGTTTTTCTTAAAAAGAATTTTCTCTCTCTCTCTCTCTCTCTCTCTCTCTCAAATTCAAAGTGTTCAGGTAGTTTACTCTGGTTCCGAACTTGAGATTCCCCTGTTTCAGTCTTCTGAGTGCTGGGGCACCATTGTTTTTGCAAAGATTTAAGAATTCACTACACTGAAACTTTTTAAAATTAAGGGTTACTGAGGTTTTTTTTCTGATCATGTCCTATTAACTTGCTCTTCTTGTTTCTGCTAAGGAATGTTCTCTGCCCTCATCTGCCTGGCAGAATTATGCCTATGTCTCAACACCTCAGGAAAAAAAAACAAAAAAAAAACAAAAAAAAAACTATGCAAAACATTTTTTGCCTAATAAGTATTTATTTCTCCATTGCTCGTGACACTAACATATTATTTAATATTCTGCTGCCCATAAAACAGGACCTGACAATAAGTAATCAGTACATATTAGGTGAATTTCAAGGAACAGAGTTGTTAGATTGGAATGTGTTGTGTTTAGGATATTTCGTTAACACCACTTTATCTGTCCTTCCAGTCTGAAAATTACAGCTTTTTTTCAGGGTAAAATTGTAAATGTTATTCTCAAACAGATTTTCTCATTGCACAATCAAGGGAACCTTCAATTTTCAGTGTCTTTCTGACACCACAGGAAACAAAGTTTCCTAACACACTATGCAAAATCCAGTAATGGCTTTAAGTAAATACTTTATTTCTAATCAAAACTTTCTTTTCTGAACATTTGCCTTCACATTATTCATTTAATCACCCAAGAAATTATTTGGAAGCCCCAAGGTCTCACTGATCTTCCCTGCATTTATTTTATGTTAGCAAAGGTTAAAACTTGGATTGCAATCTTAGGAGGAAATTAATTCACTGATTAAGAAAACGCACTTTAAGCAATACACATTTAAATAACTGACAAGCATTGAGCCATTTTTTTTTAATCCGTTTTTTCTTTTACTTCAGATTTAAGCAGCTGCAATTCTTCCACTGTATCGCCTGGAGAAGTATATCATGAATTACTAATAAGAGAGCACCAATCTGCAGTGCGGTGACCATTTTCAGAACAAAGGGTTAGAGCAGAAACTGAAAAGACAGATTTTAAAAAAATCAGCCAGTTGCTTGAAGCATATTTGGACCTTAGACCTTGGCTCTACTTGGAATCAAAAACAAAAGCAATAGTCTATCATTCTCCAGCTGAAGGCACTTGACCTCAGAGGCTCTACTTTCAAGTAAAGAAATATTCATTTATATACTACCTCCAATCCTCAATTAAAAGAAATACATGTTCATTGGAACCCAGGATCCCATTAATTTGTAAAATATGTACTTCAGATTTAACTTTTAGTTTAGACTTCTTACCTACATGGCTTTTCAGAGTCAGTATGAGAGGGCAAGGAGAGCAGCCTGAGAATAAAGTCTTAGCACGGAGTCTCTGAACGTGCATCTCCCGCTGGGGTGCAATGGGAGAGAAAAGCTCCCATGTTCCTCAGTGATTGCCATCAGATTCTTGTCCCAGAGTTCAGTTACTCCAACCCATTTCTTACCTTCCATCAGGAAAACCTATAAGTAACTAATAACCCATTGATTTCCCAAAGTAGAAGGGGAAGTCAGAGGAAACTAGGGAGGAGGGGAGAAAAAGTCACCAACAGACCAAGGTGGAGTTGAGATAAGGAAAGGGAGTCTATATACTACATGAAATTTGGGATTTCTTCCTCACCTTTAGGCCCTGGTGAAACTGTGTGTGTGGCACAGACTTCCACGGTAGGGCGACCATCAATATCCAGACCCAGACTCTGAAACTGCAAGAGCAACAGCAGCAGGAGGATGAACTGGTTGCTTCGAAGAGGAACTCCAAAGCTATTCATGACTGTAGTTCCACAAAAGAGGGTCTCTCAGAAAGGCTAAATAGTCAGCATGATTTTAGGTGAAACCTTCTGCTGCAGAGAAAAAAAAGGAAGTATCAGAAAGCACATTCCAGAAAAGGCTGCAAAGACAAGCAAGAGGCATTCCCTCGATTGTTTATTTTCTCAGGGTCCTAAAGGACCATACATTGTCCAGAATGTTTATTTTCAAATGACAACAGTTTATTGAAAATTATCACTAAACTAAACATTCAAATGTGCAGGTCAACGGAAACATCCCCGAGAGCAGAGAGTATAGAGATGCCTGCTGCTCAGAACTCCAACTGACTTAGTTTCCAGTGCACTTAAGCGCTATGTTCCAGAGGGTTGTGACCTGAGATCTCTGCACATTATGCAAACACCATGCATGGCTTTGGGCCTTTCATATGTGATGTTCATTATCTAACGTGGAGGATGACCAGAGAGGCTCCAAAGCTCCCTATGATATAGCTCCTCTTGATACCAAAAATTATCTGGGAATTAAACCCCAAATGAATAACATTTTCTGAAAATCAACTTGGTAATAAGTAAGAAGGACATTAAAAATATTTATAACCTTCAGCCTGGCAATTGCCCTTTTAGCACATTATCTCAAGGAAATATTCTGAAATGAAGACAAAGCTTTATTTGAAAGACGTGACAAAATCATTTGCCAACCATTACTATATGCTTGGTTTGTCCAAGCATATAGCAATGGTTGCAAATGATGGTAAAAAAGAGATACATTAATATATTCATAGCAATTTTTTATAGAGTGGGTGAAAACTTTTCCTGTTATATTTTTTAAAACACAGAGAGGATTTCAATGTAGATTGTCTGGATTTGATATCGACATGGATATGGAGCTCGAGGTCTCTTTATCTCTCTGTATGCGTCTGCCTATTTCACAAGCCACAGTCTTTATAAACAGTGTAGACATCATTCTATATGAATTATATAATTAAAATCAGAGTAATTTACATTAGAGTCTTCATATTCTTTGTGTGTGTGTGTGTGTTTCTGTATGTGTGTGTGCATAGGTGTGTGGAGGCCAGTGTTCCATGTTAGGTGTCTTTCGCAAGGGTTCTCCACCTTAGTTTTTGAGACAGGGTTTCTTATTGAACCTAGAATGTGTCAATGTGACCTGGTTGGTTGATCATAGAGTTGAAGGAAAGGAAATGTTCAATCTATTCTCCTTCAATTTAGAAATGAAATTTCTCACAGGTAATTAAGAGTTAGCACTTATGAGACATCATTATAAGCAATGGTCAGTTTAAAAAGTACAGGTATGTCCCTTCCCCAGTGCCTAACAAAGAACCTACAACAGGCAGCGTACAAAAGAAATTTCTGCTCAAGTAGTGATGATTAAAAATTCAGCTATGAATTTCTGGTTAGAAGGAGCATAATTCCTTACATTAACAATGGTTTTATAATGTGACTGAACTGTTCACTTCATAAGCAATACAGGACGTGGGAAGGAAAGGAACAACCGAAAATATAGTTATATACAGACTGAGGGTTGCTCTCAGTATCATCTCATTTAAGCCTCATATCAGCCTTGTAGAATAAATAGCCCATCACCCATTTTGCAGGCAAAGCAGCTGAGGCTCAGAAAAGCTAAGCAGGCTGTCTAAAATCACCCATCAAAGAAGCCTTCCATGAAGGTGAATATTCTCAAGTTTTGAGGATGCATTGATTTTGCCAGTCATGCAAGTAGTGTTGTTAACAGTGATAGGAAAACAGTAAGGATGGATGCAGTGAGGCCAGAAGCCTGGAATTCAACATCTGTCATGACGAGATTTGTGACACAGAGAAAAATGACTCAATTTCAATTGCCATACAGCATATAACTTGAGTTTTGACTTTATATCTGATGCTCTTTTGAATCCTAAAATTCTTTGGAAATTGGTGCCTTTTAAATTATTTAAATTACTCTAAATCTATCTTGCTTCTCATATTTTTTCAAGCATTCACAGGTACACAGTGAATGTGGACTCATTACCCTTATACAGAGAGATCCACTGGTAACTGTCTCAAGAAAATAACAGTGCTTAGTATTTTTTCTTGGCATATCTTCTCTTCTTCAAGCTTCATTCTCTGTTATCCAACAATGCATGTAAATATCTTTCTATATCTATCAACAGAATATTAACCTAAATTGTTGCACGGTAGTCACATGTTAAAATATTTTCAAAAATATTTTATTATTTATTTATTTATTTTTATTTATTTATTTTTTGGTCTTTTTGAGACAGGGTCTCCCTGTAGCCTCAGCTGGCCTGGAACTTGCTATGTAGACCAGGCTGGCCTCGAACTCACAGAGATCCACCTGTCTCTGTCTCCAAGTGCTGGGGTTAAAGGCGTTTGCCACCAGGCCTGGCTCTTATTTTTATTTTTTATGTATATGAGTGCATTGCCTGTATGTATATAAGTGCACCCATGTCTCACAACATCCATGGAGGTCAGAAGAAGACCTTCAATTCCCTGGAACTTGAGTCATGGATGGTTGTTAGCTGCTATGTGGGTGTTGGAAATTGAATCCAGATACTCTGCAAGAGCAGCCAGTTCTCTGAACTGCTGAACCATCTCTTCAGACCCTCCCATGTTTGATAGATAAAATTATACCTAATCAATACCTTACTGGGGAAATTTAAATCTTATTGATGTTATCAATATAAATAACACTGCGATGGACATCTTTGCCTCAATCTGTCCATCCATTCTCTTCAGCCCTTAAGGAAGACAAATGCATGCGGCTTGAAACTCATTGAATGTGACAAACAACAGATAATGAAGAAAATTTTTAAGATGATACTATATTATGCTCATTTCCTGTATGCCATTGGTTTTCATGTTTTATTCATTTTTCAACCTTGATTTGAAAACTGTATCTCTCTTTCTCACTGAAAAACATGGAGAGTTTATAAACAGAACATTCAAATAGGACTTTCATTGATCAGAGAGAACTCCTATCTTTGAGGTAGAAATGCTGTCCTCAGAATTACTCTGTATCTTTAATTTGATGACTAGAAAACAAACTCTTCTCAATAAGTGAAGCTGGTAAAGAACTTGTTTTATTGTTTTTTATTTTATTTAAAATTTTTGAAATTTATTATTTTGATTTTATGTGTATGAGTGTATTGCCTGCATGTATGTGAGCGCACCTGTGTCGTGCAATGTCGTGGAGGTCAGAAGAGGGTTTCGGATTCCTCTGGAACTGGAGTTAAGGACGGTTCCGAGCTGCCACGTGGGTGCTGGGAATCAAACCTGGGTCCTCTGCAATAGCAGTCAGTGCTCTTAACCACTGAGCCATCTCTCCAGCCCCCAAGAACTCATTTTTAAGTAAAAATATTAAGGCCTTTGAGTTTAAGGGTTAAGGAAGTACGAGGCTGGAAACTATGAGTGGGAAGTTTAGAATGTAGGTCTTGAGGCTGGGTGAATGTCTAAGACTTAGTATTTTTTTATTTTTATTTTACTATTTTTATTGAATTTTTGTGTATTTCATACATTTTTATCATATTTAGACTCTCTCCTGTCTCTGCGCCATCCATAGCGACCCCACCTGATTTCATATATTCTGCCATGTATGTTAAGGTCTATCGAGTCAGGTTTGTGTACCCAGATGTCCCTTGGCATGAGTTCATTCACTGGAGCCTGGGCAACTTATTTAACAGCATCACTCCTTTAAAGAAGATCAGTTTTCCCCCATCTACCAGTGATTAGCTTCCAATAGTTTCTCAGCTAAGGTTGGGGCTTCCTGCCCAATTCCCCAGTTCTTTGCAGGGATTTTGTCTGATTGAGCTTGCATGGGTCTTGGGTATGGTATCACCATTGTTGTAAGTTCATATGAACAGAGCTGGTCATTTCTATTTGGGGCCCGCAGGTATGGAGATTACACATGAAGGTAAAACATTGAACAAGAAATTCTAGTATATAGATGCCAAGAGAGTAGATATTTAGGACCTAGCATGCATACAAAGAAGTAACACAGTACAATGGCAAACAAGAGACAAGAAAGTTTAGATGTGTTGATGATGGCTGTGTACAAGCTATGGAGTCACTAATTTAGAAAAAGAATTTAGGAATGAAATAGACCACTCAGTAGGATGATTTTGGAAAGACAAAAGGAAAGGCATGTCAAAGTAATTTCCTGACCACTGAGAAAGTCACTATTCAATAGTGATTATGATAACAAAATTAATCATAGCAATGGCTACTTTCAACTGAAATTTCACTATATGCCAGGTACTGTGCTAATCATTGAATGGGTGGATAATTTAATGCTTAAAATAAGTTTTAAAGGAAAATGAATATCTATGTCATAAAGATATAAAAAAAACCTGAATTAAGAAGCATGGTTTAGAATATAAATTAAGGAAGGGGAGACATATGTGACTGGTTCTCAGGTCTCATTTACTTTATTATGTACTCTAACCACCTGGAACCCAAGGACCATTTCTACTTAAGGACTTGAAACAGTGTTTAAACAAGAATGCAGTTAAAACTGTACAGCATGACAAATGAAGCAATGTAATCTACACTAATTTTCCAAGAATCTTTGTTGATGAATAAAAGAAAAATTCTATTAGAAAGCATTTAAAGGAGTCCAATTGTGAATCATTTAAATCAGTAGTATACATACTTGAGAATTATGAGCCTATTATCAGCGTTATATAAAAAGCTTATACCAGCTCCGAGATTTCCCAATAAATATGGAATGACAGAACTTTAAAAATAGGATAGATGATTTAAAAATGAAATTGTCAAGTTATGTTAAATTTATTTTCTTTAGAGTGCTAAAAATACCTCATACTGCCCAGAGAGAATTCTACTGGCACTTATAAGAGTTCACTTTCACTTATCCCCAAACAGAAGAAATTGAAAAATTCAAGTCAACACTGGTTTTGCTTCAAACCAGAGTTTTGAACCAGATAATAAGCCCAACAAATTTACAGCTGGAATAAAATTGGAAGGAGGCTAAGGCTAGATCTAAAAAGAGAATAATTCATGTCTGTTTTACAAAACCATCTCTGTAATTCCTCATTTTCCTGACTGCTTTCTTCTTTCATT